ACTCTTTCCAGGTTGAGACAAATCTGAAAAAAATACTGTTTGAATCAGACCCAGATTCAGTTGTGCAATGTCCTTGGAAGAACATTAATAAATAAAAACAATGGTATAATACCTGAGCTCTTCAGTTCTTTCAGATCTTCTCAGAACAGATTTCATGAATTTGTTTCCATTCCCCCCCACCCTTGTAAGCAATCCAAGAAAATAAGAATCAATAGGCAGTTCAGTGTCCTTTGCTTTGCACTGTTCATTGAAACAAAACAGTTTCCAAATTCAGAAGCATTAAGGAAATGCATCCCTGACAACAAGAGAAAATTGTGATAATTTATGGCATTCTGAGAAACCTCTGAGCCATTTCATACTAGCTGATGTCACCCAGTCATTCACTCTTTCTGTAATGATGGAAGGGAAGGTGAAGTGGGGAGAAGAGTGTATCAACTGACAAATGCATTTTTGGCTTTAGGCCTGCCCGAAGATAGTGGCATGGAGTTGATGTTGTAGTTGGGCTTAAATGATTGTGCAAAATTATTGCAGATGAAAATTGAGGGGAAAGAACTTTTACATCACAGAGGTATAAAGTCGTTCATGTCATCGCTGTGCCCCATCATTGTGCCCAGTTTTCATAGTCACCCCTAGCCCAGTGAAGACACAGTCAAGACGTGGTGCCACTCTGCCTGTTCAACACTAGATAGATTACTAAACAGACATGGGTGATATTTCCCTATAAGAAGAGACTCTGATTGGCAAATTCCAATGCTCGCTGCTTGGTAGGTGGGCTTGGTAGGACAATGGATTTCTGCTACTGCGTGTACCTCAGCAGGTTTTTACTATTGTGTTCTCATCATTGTGGATGATCAGGTTTGTTTTTTGTATTTCATATGCCTCTATCTATTGTAGACAAGAGTTCCCTTTCACCATTAATAAGAATTCTGTTTGCAGAACAAACATGCAGTGGGATTCAGAAGGTTATCAATATACACCTCATGTGTTTTTATTATTGCTTCTTTTACTAGGCACCTTAATAATGAACATGCGTTGGATGACAGAAGTACTGCTCAATGTCGGGTGCAAATGCAGGTGGTTCAGCGTGTAGAAATACAGGTTTGAGAAAATACTCATCTTCTGGATTTAACTTTCTTGAGGAAATATTCTCATGTTCTTAGGCTGTGATTACATGTATGAGTATGTTTGAGATGTGTAACATGTTCATTGTATGCTTTTTTAATCCTGATAAATTTCTAAAATATGATTTACATGTTTCAAGATTAGCTTCCAACTATTCTCCTGTAGATTTTTGATGTTATCAAGTCCGTCTTCCCCTCCCTTATATCATGAATTTCAGAATCCAAATACAATATATACTCCAGACATTATTGAAAACTGTGGTTACACATGTTGGCATAGCCGTCTCTCTGGAGTCATTTTTTTAAATTCACAGTTTATTAATTTCTATAGTGAACAATAATACAAAATATTAATCTTAATTTTCCTACAATCTATCATATTATTCACCCCCTATATTAATAGAAAGTGTTCTCCGGCTTATCCATTAACTCCAATTTTACCTAACTACTAAACAAGGATTACTTCCTATTCTGAAATCATATTGTCTTGTTCCACCCGTTACATGTAATTCCATTTAGTTTCCTAAATTCTTCATTCCATAGTCATATTAGTTACAATACATATATTTACGTAACACTGGACATTCTTCAGTCCACTATTTACTATTGCAGACTTCCAATTTATTCTTCAGAAAGGCCAACTTCTCCTGAAAAAGAAAACCAAATGGGTCTGCCCTCTCATTCCTGGGGCCAAAAACTCGGCAGAAAGGAACTCAGCCTTTCCTCCTCCTGTGAGAGCCATTGACGAAATTGAAACTCGGTGCCCTCTCTGCCCTCATGCCAAACTGACTCCATGGTATAAACCCGGAGCTATGGAGGATGAAACGAGAACTGAGATGGCCAGAGCAAGTGTGGTGGTGTGGTCGTGATGAAGCTTCAAGAACATCTTATAGGATGTTTATGAAAGCCTATGAGATGGCAGTGAAGGCCACTAAAAAATTTTTTCATGCAGTCTCCATTGCATCTGCTAGTTCTCGCCCAGCCCAGTTATTTAGAACAATTTGATATTTATTTATTTATTAAATTAGATTTATTAGGCTCAGGGAGGCTTACAACAGAACAAATACAATAAATAATGCCGTTAAAACCAACGCTAAAATGCCTATAATCTATCAGCAAATAAAACAATACACTTCCCAAGATGGCAGAAAAAAGATTTTAAATTCCTCAAACCGTCTGGGGGGAGGGGGTTGTGGAGGGTGGGGTGTATGTGAGAGTGCCATATTTTACATTGTCTTGTCACTGTCCTCAACCAAATGCTTGGCAGAACATCTCTGCCTTGCATGCCCTGTGGAAAGATAGTAAATCCCACAGGGCAGAGCTATATCAGGCAGAGAGTTCCAACAGGCGATTGCCAGGGCTGAAAAAGCTCTGGCCCTGGTTGAGGACAGCTAGATTTCTCTGAGGCCAGGTACCCCCAGAAAGTTCTTATTCCTAGAGCATAACACTCTTCTGGAGGCATACTGAGACAGGCGGTCCTGAAAGTATGTGGCTCCCTGACCACTAAGGGCCTTGAAGTTCAGAAGCAAAACCTTGAACCTGATCCATGCTCCACTGGAAGCCAGTGCAGTTTGCACAGCACAGGTTGAATATGTGCTTTCTGAGGGGTCCCCATAAGGACCCATGTGGTTGCATTCTCAGTTGGAGCTTCTGGGTCAGGTGCAAAGGTAGGTCTGCATAGAGAAAATTACAGTAGTCTATCCTGGAGGTGACTGTTGCATGAATTTCTGTGGCTAGGTTGGCACAGTTGGAAGAATGCCAGCTTGGCAACCTTCACGACCTGGGCCTCCATAGATAGGTCATGCCCAGACTCTTGATGGTCAGTACTGGTGATAAGGGCACATTGTCAAGAGTTGGGAATTGGCAACCCAACCACAACTCCCCCCCAGCCACAGCACCTTCATCTTACCTGGATTCAGTTTCATTGCCTCAAGGAAAACCAAATTATAAGGAATTGGCTATTGACTGTCAGGCATTTGCAAGCTTTTTTTGCAAATAAAGTCTTGTCACTCTGCCAAGACTTCCCAACACAATTGATACAGTAATGAAACTGGAAGCCCCTTGTCCTTCTTCTGGTCCAATTTTGGACCACTTCAATCAGCTCTCCCAGGAAGAAGTTAAGATTCTGGTAGCTGTGAAGCCCACCACTTGTCCCCTCAATCCATGCCCTTCCTGGCTGGTTAAAGTCTGCCAGGAGAGTGTGTGGACCCCTTTTAGAGACATCGTCAACCTATCCCTGTTATCAGGGACCTTCCCAGCTGGTTTAAAGGAGGCAGGGGTGCACCCACTCTTGAAGAAGCCATCACTGGACCCCACAGTCCTCTCATACTATTGCCCAGTCTTGAACCTACTGTTTCTGGGCAAGGTGGTTGAGAGAGTGGTGGCAGAACAGTTTCAGGCTTTCTGGAATGACACTGCTATTCTGGAACCATTCCAGTTTGGCTTTCGCACTGGCCATAGGATGGAGATCGCACTGGTTGCCCTTGTGGATAACCTTCAGAGACATCTGGATCGAGGTGGGTCAGCGCTGCTGTTGCTTCTTGATCTAATGGCAGCATTCGACATGGTTGACTATGACCTCTTGACCCACAGTGGGATACAGTGGACTGCTTTACAATGGTTTTCCACCCATTAGGGTTGGGGACAGAGGGTGGTGCTTGGAGAGGAACTGCCCCAGTGGCACCCGCTTAAACATGTGGTGCCGCAGGATGCTATCCTCTCCCAAATGTTGTTTAACATCTATATGTGCCCCCTTGCCCAGTTGGTCTGGAGGTACGGGCTGGGCTGCCATTAGTTTGCTGATACCTCTCAGCTCTATCTGTTGATGGACGGGTGGACTCTGCCCCAGAGGCACTGGACAGGGCACTACAGGCCATGACTGGTTGGCTTAAACAGAGCCAATTGAAATTCAGTGAAGATGGAGGTCCTGTACCATTGAGGCTGGCACTGAGGGTAAAGAGCTTGGGGGTGCTTTTGGATACCTCCCTGGCGATGGAGGCCCAGGTTGCCACCGTTGCTTGATCAGCTTTCTATCATCTGGGTCTGGTCAAGTAACTGGTTCCCTATCTCACTTCCCAGGACTTAGCTACAGTGATCCAAACAATGGTAACTTCCAGTTTGGATTATTGTAACTTGCTCTATGCGGGGCTGGCCTTGAACTTGACCTGGAAACTGAAGCTAGTGCAGAATGCAGTGGCATGTGTGCTGATGGTGGTGCCTGTGCGGGCTCACATTCAGCCAGTGCTGTGCCAACTGCACTGGCTGCCAACAGAGTACTGGATCCAGTTCAAGGTTTTAGTGTTAACTTTCAAAGCCCTATGTGGTCAGAGACCTGCATATGTTCAGGACCATCTCTCCCTATACATGCCTGACAGAGTGCTACACTCAACCGACCAACATCTTCCAGGGCTTTCTCTGCCCTGGCCCCAGACTGGTGGAACAAGCTCTCACTTGAGATCAGGGCCCTGCGGGATTTGTTACAATTCCGCAGGGCCTGCAAAATGGAGAGCTGTTCCACCAGGCTTTCAGATGAGGCAACGAACATCCAAATCCATCTTCGACCTCCCCTGCTGATAATACTACCCTTTGACCAGTGCAAACTGAGCATCATTGTCAAGGCAAATCCATTCTGACTGCTGTTTTTATTATTTTAGTAGTAATGTGATTTTAATTATCTAAAATATACTGTTATCTGTATGACTTGTAACCAGCCCTGAGCCTGCTTGCGGGATAAAAATTGAATCAAATAAATAAATCTCACCATATCACCCCAGATTTATTCTACTACTTTGAACCCCCCTTCCAAAGATCCTAAACCCCATGTCCACTTGCATGCCTGCATAAACCCATTATTGTTGACCCTCAATGTGGTTTCACACATGTCTTTTAGCAGCATCCCATCCTGCTACTTGAACTCCCCCATGCATTTCAGGGTTTGGAAGGGCTCATATTTCTTCTTTATCTTCACAGTGGAGGGATTAGTTAGCACATAGAAATTCTTAATATGTAAGATGCAAACCTAACCTCATCTTTTATAATACGGCTAGTCATGGAAAGTAGGATAATTGCAGTTTGCATTGCTTTTTGCTCATTTGTCTCAGGGGTGTAAACTGTGTTACTGTTGATGACCTCACCTTTCATATGATGAGTTTTATATGGCAGGTCATTAGGTATGAGGCAGTGGCTATCAATTAGGGGTGTGCAAAAAAAACCCCACCCTGGTATTTTTCAGGTTCGAGTAAATTGAACCCAAAAAATTTCTTGATATTCCTGAATCCCAATACCAATATAATATTCGGATTCTGTAAATATTCGGGATTGTTGAATTTTTTCAGCTCCATTATACCGTATGGGAGCCATTATAGTCAATGGTTGATCTGGGGGTATTGATCTGGGAATCTGGGGCTCTGTGGGAGCTGTTTTTGAGGTAGAGGTACCAAATCTGCCTCATAGCTGCTGGTGCCCCTCCTAAAAAAAACCCATTGTTTTGAAAAGATTGGACCGGAGGTCGAATTTTGTGGGCCCCAGAAGAAGGTGTGGTCCCTTTAAATGCCTTTGGCAAGCCGTGGCTAAACTCTGAATGCCAGCTATCCGGCAGCCCAAAAAAATCCCGAATATTTGGGAGTTTTTTCGGGCTTGGCCATGCCAGATAGCTGAATAAATACCCCAGCTGATATCCGGCAGAAAAAAATACCCAAAAAATACTGGTAAAGTATTGGAGGGGGTCAGCTCAGATAAACCAAATGTATTCCCCTACTATCAATGGCTTAGACACAGTAAAATACTATCTTTTGGTCGGCTTGTATTAATGAACTTTCTGAGTGGTTCCCAAAGTATTTGGCAATCTGAACAGTAGTGCAGCAAAGCACTGGTAGCTTGATAGAAGTTAGAGTTGCCATTTTTCCAAGACAGAGATCGTCTCTATTCCCTATGTCATATATGCTATTCGAAATATATTAATTTAATTAAAGATACAGTGGCAAAACCACTTCTAATACTTTCTTCTGTATTATGGCACTGGTCAAATAAATGCAGAAGCCTGCGCAATTCTGTAGTCTTACTCGAAGTCCAGTTCCTCCCATGTGCCATTCAGTCAGAAGGAGCATAGAGAGAGGAGGGACTTAGTTATGAAATCTCCTGTTGAGAACTGAGAAACAGTTTGAAAATCTAATGGATTTTTAAAAATGTTACTCTGTTGTACTGGAGAGCAGAGACTGGCTTTTGTGCCCACTCCTGGCCTTGTGGGATAGGGCAGGTTATAAATTTAAATAAATACACTTGTGATGGCTTCTTGTTGTTAGTGTGACATATTTATTTCTGCTGTGTGGTGTAGCCTGCACTGAATTAAAAATAATAATTCAAGGATGAATTTTTATAAACCAGTTTTTAAAATTAAGTTTAAAGATTTTATTTCTCTGAGCATATTAATGGTTTTATGGGTATCAAAATTAACTTTCCTTGAATTCTAATTTGAATATATTTATATTTGTTCATTTTATTATTTTTGGTGCCTTTTCATAAGTTGCATGAGAATTTATTTCTAGGTTTTATATAATTGGACTCTGTCAGCATTTGATACTACAAGTACTGCTTGACTGAGTGCTGTGAAAATCAATTGGGGATTGGGGATGATAAAACAAAAAAGGGGGCTGTAAATAACCCTTATAATGTTTTCTGAAGCATGTTGAAGGGTTTCATAAAGACCTGTTTACCATTTACAAAGGCTGTGCTGTAACATGAAAGGACGTATGGAGTTTCCGCTTGCAGGGTGACCAATTATGAGTTCTTTTTTTCTTCTTTCCTTTTTGTGTGACTGATAGAAAAGTAAGGTCCATCCGTTGTAATGAGACCCAGTGCAGTGTATATGTCGGCTTAGTGACAGAGTTCAGCCGTTTTTGCACTGCCTGGTCCCTGTCACTCTATTGAATTAGATTGATGATAGCAGATTGCAGAGGGCACTAACTGGACCTCAGTGGGAATGGATGAAGTGTGCAGACAATCCTGGCAGGCACTGTGCTACGAGGACCCTTCACCCCTTCTCAGTTGTTGGCACTAGTCCATCGCTAACAGTGTCCACAGGACTTTCAAGAGACACTATGGGCCATCTAATTTATGGTCCCAGTAACTTGTTACTGCTGAGGCAATGGTGACCTCAATTCTCTTATTGACAAAAAGATGAAGTATTATTTGTTTTATCTGACCTTTTAAACATAAGAGAAGCTTTACGTGGTCCTTCCCCCTCCCAACCCTCAGAAAAGGCAAAGTTGCCTTTCTTAGTATAGAACTTTCTACTGACATAGGATTTCGTATGCAGGAACCATTACACTACAACAGTCTTCAATGAAAAGATGTATCACTGCAATAAAATAGCTGTATTAGTCATTTCTAAAATGACTTCTGATCTCACTCTTTCTTTAACAGCTTTCTAAAGAACGTGAACGTCTTCAGGCAATGATGACCCACTTGCACATGCGACCCTCGGAGCCCAAGCCATCTCCAAAACCCGTAAGTGCATATTGCTTTATAAACAGTAAATAGGCCCATGAATGTAACAGACTAAGAAAATGAACAATTTAGGGACAGCTGGAAAACAATGAGGGTGATGAAAAATATGGCAATAAAATGAAGGTAAAATGCAATAGCTTGTCAAATTGTATGTTTCTTTAAAAGTAATGCTATCTTTTACAAAATCTATCCAATCTGCACCATAGGTGACACTAAACAAAGTACACCTATAAGTGCACAAATCACTGCCTTGCAGCTGAAACTAGAAAGAATATCTTCTTTGAGATAGGCTGGCAGATATTAAAAGGAAACCTATTTTGAAAATCCTGAAGTTCAGTTGACTTGATAGCTAAAGGGGGGGGGGGGTTAGAAGGGTAGCTAAGTGTGTGGATCTCTTACAGGACACACACAAATGTGTATTTTTGTTACTGTGAAACTTGTCCCTTAAATATAAATTGCAAAAAGTGTTGCACTCTGTAGCATGCTTGTTTTGGTTGGCACATCGAAGATAGTAGATTGGTTCCTACAGATCCATTCCTCTCATGGCCACACATTCCTCTGACATAGCAAGCCCCAGCTTCTACAAGAGAAGAAGAGGGAAAAGAGTTGAGATTTTTAATACCCAATTTTTTCTACCTTAAGAAGTCTCAGGCCATGGTCAGACGTGCCTTTGAATCCACTCAGCTTTCAATGCCTGATGGATCTAAAGGGCATGATCAGACAGCAACATCTGGGAAAGTTCCCACAGCTGTCAGCACCCCATGCTGCCCAGCCACGGAAGGAGAGTTAAAAGACACTAGGGAAAGTCTGGTCCTAATGCTTGCCGATGGGCTATGGACGGACATTCCCCATCTCATCGCTCAAGCATGCACTCAAGCCATCGGGATGATCTGCTCATTCCATCCCAACTCGGTGCCATTTTCCCCCTCGCTTAGCAGTATGTACAGAACTGCATACTCCATGGGGGAACCCTCAGTGTGGGGGTGCGATTCCTCATGCGCATGGGAAACAAAAGGCCAAAAAAAACCCCACTCGCCCAAACTTGTTGTCTGATCGGGCAGTGACGGGCTGAGCCCACAGCTACAAAGGATGTGTGCTCACACAACACCGCATCAATTTCCACTGGGGAAAATAGTGTCAGTTCCCCTCCGCACCAAATGGCACATCTGACCGCAGCCTCAAAGCAGCTTACAATTGCCTTTCCCTTCCTCTCCCCACAACAGGCACCTTGTGAAGTAGGTGGAGGTGAGAGAGTTCTGAGAGAACTGTGACTGGCCCAAGGTCACCCAGCAAGCTTCATCTGGAGGAGTGCGGAATCAAACTCAGTTCCCCAGATTAGAGTCCACTGATCTTAACCACTGCACCACTACATTCTTCTGCCAGTGGAAGAGCAGTTGCATCATGAGAAGACTCCCTACAGTGAGGGAAAGTGCCATCAGAGGAATGGATGTATAGAATCTCACCCATTGTTGCAGATAGGCAAAACCATTTCCTGGCAGTAATATGCAAAAGACCTCAATCAGATTTGCTCCACTTTTGACTCACTTACAGGCTTTGAATATAAGATATTGCCTTATTTATTTGTGGATGGAGTGTGGTGTAGTGGTTAGGTGTGTCAGACTAGAATCTGGAAGACTCCGATTCAAATCCCCACTCATTCCATGGAGGTTTGCTGGGTGACCTTGGGCCAGTCACACACACTCAGCCTGACCTACCTCACAGGGCTTTTGTCCGGATAAAATGGAGGAGATGAGAATGATGATGTAAGCTGCTTTGGGACCCCACTGGGGAGAAAAGTGGGGTATAAATAAATTAAATAAATAGGTAGGTAACAAGATACCCTGCTTATTTCATAAGAATCCTTGGGATAAAAGATGAAGGGTCAAGATTTCTAAAACTCAGAACAACACTTTAGGATAAAGGATCTTAAAAGATTGGCCTTTGTTAATCCCCCAGCACTGAGTTTCAGGGGTTAACGGAACATTTTTGGTGTTTATGAGTATTAACTAAATTCTTGGGTTTTTTAGATTCCATTCTGAATTATGACTTTAGATTTCAGTATCTGACACACAGGATACTTAAATAGGTCCTGCTTTTGATTGCCAGCACAGCAGATAGCTAACATCCTTAAGTATCTTGCTTAAATTCCAAACATTGCTAACTTGTGCAGAAAAAGCTTTGCAGAATACATTTGCATTACCTAATTATCTGAGCCCTAAATAAGCTGGTCAGTCCAAAATTTGGGGAATATTTACTGTTGTAACTGCCTTTCTCCAATATGATTTTTCCCCTCATTGCTTCTTATAGTATAATGTAGCTAATCACATGACAGAATAATTGTCTCATAAATCCATCAGGAATCTGCAGCTTGTTCT